GAGCAGATGGAGTGACCAACTGGATTTTTAGGGACTCCAAAATTTCAGCATCTGTTAGTCTGCTTCGCTACTACAGTAGTATCAACCTTATACTTATCCGTTAGCGGTAAAAGTGTTTAAAGCACCATTTCAAAGTAAATGTAACATTCAATTGAACCCTAAAAAGAAAAACACATTCAGAAATTTGTCACAAAAGGCAAAAAGGAAAACTCTTCTGGGCTTTACTGTCATTGTTCTTGTGCATGATTTTATACTACTATCATGTTCAAAATAAATAAATTACAGCATACATCCAACTCTATCAGAGAAAATGTGAAACTTTTATGTAATAAAAGTTAGACTTTTTTCTCTAAACTTTTTTCTTTTGGAAACGCACCATCTCTGCACAGTCTCATGTCATTTTCATCATTTTAGAATGCCATGAACTTCATACTTTTTCTAACAGAATTAACAGTTTAAGAACTACCATCAATAAAATATACAACCTCTAGGTATCATTTATCATGTGGTTTTCTAAGTGGCAAAAATATAATATTCTGCATTAATAACTTTTGTCAGGACAAATATTACAATGACAGGTCAAATTTCTGATATTTAGTCTAACCATTAAAAATCAATATCAATAAAAATTCCCTTGTTCAACATTAGATGGCAATATCTAATTTCTTTTTTGGAAATTGAGCAGTTTCTGTAACTTGCGTTACGGAAACTTATAACATGTTTCAATTAAAATTGAAACGACATAAAGGATATTATCATGTTATTATTTAAACACTGTTTTATTTCTCTGATAGATAAAAATGTATGTTTTGATATGAATATCGTTTGAAATTTTCCCATCATAGTTACTGAAAAGCATGGTGACATCAGAATGAAGCAGGTGTCTATTGTGCGATTTAATTACATTTGCTTTAAAATTAAAAAAAAGTCAAAGAAATGCGAAATTAACAAATCGTGAGAAGTTGCATGAGCTTGTAATGGAGTTGTTACCTCGTCTCTCGGTGAAGCTACTACTGTTGTTGTTGTAGCTCCTTGGACGCTAATGCTAACTATCGTGGTTCCAATGGGAAGTTAGCCCGCTAAGCTAACTCTGTCACAATAATATGCAGCTATCTTGTAACACCTTATTCAAAAAATATACAGACACAGATTTTACAACTGTTCCCGAAGACAGCTATATAAAAATAAGTTATTAAAACAGTAAAACATAAAACAAACAATATGAAGTCACGTTATTGTACTACCCGCTGCTATACTTCCACAAATCTAACCAATCACAAGACAGTTTGGAGAACCTGACCAGTCATTGACGTTCATTCGCTTACATTGGTCCTACAAGACCCGACTGAAGACAAAAAGTACTAAACGCGAATAGAATAGAATAGAATAGAATAGAATAGAATAGAATAGAATAGAATAGAATAGAATAGAATAGAAGTGGGTATCGTCGCCAAAAAGTTTACTGTAATTGGAGTAAAACTACTTCACTCTATTTTTACTTAAGTAGAAGTAAAAAGTAGTCATTTGTATGCAATTCAAAAACATTTAAGACAGACACATAAGATATATAAGATGTATTTATTACACATGCTTGGTTTTTCAGTTGTAGCTAAACCAATTTAACACTTTGGAACACCTTAGTTCTAAAACTTAGACATTATATCCAGTTACACATGATAAGCAAGAAACAAATTTGGAAAAAAAGGAAACTGTCAGAAAATCTTTATCTTAAGGCTTCCCTATGAATAATAATATTTCCTTACTTCAATGTCAAAAATCAAATACATCTGTTGTTTGGAGCCACCAAGAAACTCCTACACAGATAAACTTAATCCTGGATAATCTGAGAGTCATACACAGTTATAAATACTTAAGTTCACAGTCTGTATCACGTCCTGAATATGTTTATCACCAATATAAAAGATGGGCTTACTAGCATAAAAAACACACCAACTGAAAGATGACACTGATACAACACAGAGTTTTTTTCTTTCCCTTATGTTTGACATAATTCTGTGTATATTTTAAGAGGAATTTCTAGGATGTGATATTATTTTGTATATTAATACTAATCAGTCACGGCAAAAGCAAACAGACTTGGGGTATAATCTGGTGTATTTACAAATACTATACATGTTTTTGTTATTGTGTCCTGTCCCTGTTTACATAAATAAATGTGATAAGGGAAAAAAAGACACATAAATTATGTTCCAATTCATTGATAATGTGGTTAAATAGTTAGTTGCATGAGACATTCAATTGAACATACTGATCAATCAAAGGGGTATCAATGGAGCACCTTCTTTAAAAGGCCCTGGAACATTTTATAATTACAGAAGATTAGGTGCCTTAGGACGTTTAACTGTTGCTGCTTGATGATAAGATAAAGTCATTAAAACATATTTTAATATTGTAATTTTTATATCTCCGATATTCTTTCAGGATGTATGCAAATAAGAATCTCTGCATGTACACTTGCCTCATTTTGAGCCTTCTTGTGGCTTCTCAGCAACAGCAAGTATGCTTTCCATTTTTAGCCACAGACAGGTCTGTGTGTCGCAGCTGAAGCTCTACAGTATGGGTGTGTGTGTGTGTGAGTGGGTAAAGCACACATGCTCACTCTCCATCGCTCTTTCTTTCCGCCTCCGCACTTTAGTACAAAAATGGCAGAGCTCAGCTACAGGCATCCAGATGCACCCATCATCTTCATCATCATCACGTTCATCAGCAGTAAGACATGCATCCATTATCACTGCCACCATCTGTCCGTCCACGGTGTCACCACTAACACTCGTATTCAGCATCGGTGCACAAAAAGGAGAGCTGCTCTAGTAAAAGACATTCCAGTGAATTCACAAGCAACACACACAATCCCTTCTTTTTTCATGCAAGCCTGTTACCATGACAACCAAACAGTTAAAAAGCAGGGTCATTTAGAGTGAACCAGATGAAATGAAACTATGTTCAAGTGGCGTACAGATGACTTTGTGGGCAGGAGGTGGTCTGTTGTCATGTCGACATAAAAAGCAAAGGATGCTTTGTAAAATATGTTCTCGTACCAGCTGTTCGAAAGCTACAGATCAAACTCACACATATGTCAAGTAGTTTCATCAATCAAGTGTTGGCTTCCTAAATCAACCAAGTGGAGGGAGGAAGATGAGGTGGCATATCGGGAAGACCAACCAGAGTAAAATCAATTCTCAGATTTATGTAATTAGGCAGGTATTGTGCCTTAAAAAGGTTTTTTAAACCTATTTTTCTTACTGTTTATTATTTTTGTCACAAACTGTAATGTATTTTATGAGGATTCTATTTCATTGGCTCACACAGAGTAGAACATAATCATAAATTAGTAGGAAAGAATTTGGGTTTCATTTTTTTCTGCAAATAAAATCTTTAATTATTCAATTAAAAAAGTTAAATAATGGTCAAATCTTCCCTATTTCTAAAATGGTCAATGAGTAATTGGTTTTTCAAAGAAAGACATAACAAGTGCTTGCAGTTTGACACAATCCCTGCAGTGGATCCTTTCTGCATATGTGGGAAAAGGTGCCCTTACAAATTGCAAAGAATACACCATCCCCGCAATGAAACATTGTGACACTGTTCTTCAGCAGAGAAAAGTATCACATTTTAATGGGATTTTATGTATCCAACATAAAGCAATGCATAACATGAGATTGAAAGGAAAATGATTCTTAGTTTGAATTTTGTTTTTCAAATAAAAATAAGAAAATAATAAAATTTAGAGTTTTCTGTTCATGAACCAATATTTAGAGAGCTAATTTTTGTTTTTGTTTTGCAGTGATGCTCAAGCTTCTATATAATGGGTGGAGAGCATCTGTGAACATCAATTCACACACTTATAACATTCTCTTAGGTGTAGTTAGGCCTAGATTTTGACTAGACATGTCTACTGAAACACTGTCAAGAGAGAAAGTAGCCAGGCAGTATTGAATGTTGAATACCTTGGAAATCAAGAGGAGCAAGTGAGTGAAGTCCGATGTAAGGATGAATTGGAAAAAGTTAAAAAGGGAAGAATGTTGTGGATAGTACAAGAAAAGCTGACACAGTCGCTACCTGGTAGGGAAGAAATATCAGATGACGTGATGTGAAAATATGGAATATTTTATTAATTTGTGTTCATCCACAAATTTCCTCCCAAGATATTAAATGAGTTTCTTTAATCAAGAACAGAACACCTGACAGTTTTGGCCCCAAACCTTCAGTGGTCTATCAGAATGCTGACCATAAAAACAGAATGTATTTTTTCAGCTTCATAATGAGTGCAAGTCTAAATCAACAGAAGATAAATCCAAATTTTTGACTAACAAAGCCAGAATGCTTTGTTAGTCAAAAGCATTTTGACTAACAAAAGTGAGTTTCCTGTTAAAGTGAGTTTCCTGTTAAAGTGAGTTTAACAGGAAACTCACTTTCCTGTTAAAAAAGGCCACAAAAGAAAAAAAAAAAAAAAAAAAAGAAAAGAAAAAAGAGTGTGCACACTACTACAACCAGTATAGGTTTATTTTTTTTTTATTTCATTTGTGCTGTCCTTTGTGACTTGTGAAAATGTGTTGTTGCTCTTGTACTTGAGAATTTGATACAAACGAAAGTCTGAAAAAAATGCCTAAGATAGGGACTGAGCATCCTCTTTTAAGTTTGTTTCAAAACTCAGATTAATAAACTTGTCAAAGTAGAACATCTTTCGGGTTGATTCCGATACGCAAGAAAGAGCCACAATGCCTTCACTCCATCTCCCAGCATGCATCTGCTAGGGGGAGATCCTAGCTGAGCAGCTAGAAGATGGATAGTTTGATAGCGTGTTTCCCCTGCTGCCGAGTGTATCACTGCAGTGGAGGCTGCCTCTTGCATGAAGCTTTGCTGAGGAGTTTCAGACACAGAGGAAAACCTCCACAAGGAGAACAGTGCATGTGATTGGCTGATGACTCTTTAAAGGACACCAATCAGACAGCATCCTGGCTGTGTGTTTCCCTCTCCATCTCTGAACGCACTGTCAGCCTGCGCATATTTTTTTTTATGACTGCAGCGCTGCCATGCATGCATGTCGTGCCTCTGTTTGTGTGCAGAATGTTGAAATTTCAAGCAGTTTTTGAAGGAGATGTGGCAAGAGATGTTGAAGAAACAGATGGAAAACAAGAGGTCCTGCTTGAATGAAAGTGTGGGGAAACAGAAGCTGAGGATAAAAGCTGAGGGGAAAAGGCACTGTGATTAGAGAGAGAGAGAGAGAATAAAAGAAAGAAAGAGAGAGATTGCAAGGCGGAGGAAGAGGAGGAGGCAGAAGAGGCGATCTGCTGAAGGGAACCAGCAGAGCCGCTGATTTTACCAAAACCCTCGGCAGCTGCCTTCTGTTGCTGTGGAGATGGGCTGTTGGCTCTCTGGACCATGGATGGGTGACCAAACGGTAAGCCATTAAAAAACTGTCTGACTGCTAGAAATCCTGCTGTGTATTTTTAATTAGCTCTCATTTGAATTAGATAAAATGGAGTCACCAGTGCTTGTGCTTTTTGCTTGTGGATGTGTCAGTATGTGTGTATTTAATGAGACTCAAAGTAGGCATTGGGATTTCTGCAGGATTTTGCATTTGAATGTGAGACAATTAAACACAATGTTAAGTTGTTCATGCCATTTCTTTACAAAGTTATGTTAGATTTTGTCTCATTTGTGTCACTGGCACCTTCAAAAGAATCCCACTCATCCTGCTGCCATCCGCCGTCTTTACATACAGGTGCCATTTTGTGCTCCTTTGCTCACGCTGTATGCATGTTGTGTGTGTGCGTGTACGCGTGTGTGTGTGTCTGTGTGTAGCTGAATGTAGCGGAGGGTGACTCATGGTTCTGATGCACTGGAGTTAACAATGCTGTTCATGCGTCTAATTCGATGGCTTTTGAGCTGCATGCACTGATATGTAGCAAGCAGAATAAGGGTTATGCCCCTTTTCAGAAGTAACACACCTCACTGCAGACCTACAGAGACATACTCATATTTGTCATGTTTGATGAACATGGTGTGGCTGCCCAGGTGTCCCTAATCCAACCATCTGTCAGAGAGAAGCAGAATCTTGCTGCCCAGTTGTGTCTTATGATTTTGCCAGTTTGCAACATGTATTGCGTTCAAACCATTAAGATAATAGTAAAGAAAAGGATGATGGAATGAATGCTGCCTTCAAAATGGCAGCTTGCATTCCAAAAAATGCACAGAGGCGTCGATGGATGCTGGATTCCCACAATCCATGACCGAACTGGAATAATTCCTCAGTGATTCCCATGATGCCACTGAGCAGCATCTGGTCATTAGCTAAGCTGTATTCCCCACTCTGTTCATAGCAGTTGTTCCTGGGATAAATTTGTTATGAAGTCCAAGTTCACATAATTTCAATGGGAACTGCCAAGATTAGTATTTACATTGTGTGAAGACAACACACAGAAGTCAAAAATTTTTGGAAGATAAATGGAGGATTAAGCATCTGTGCAGTTTCTCAGAGTTTTTTGTCCTTTTTTGGAAAAAAAATATGCAAGAATCATCTCATATTTTCCTTTACTTGATTCTGACCTTTACTTGATTCCTTTACTTGATTCACACACACAGAACTGTGATGTGCAACATGCAGTTATCGGATTTATTCTGCCTTCATCTTTGAGTCTAGAACAAACTGATTGCAGAAATGCAGGGTATTTTACCTATAACATTCTCAAAATGATATAGACAAATATTGCATACAGCAGCAACAATTTTAATTGGCTTTGGGAGCAAAATGTACCAAAAGCAATGCCATATATGGATGTGTTGGCACTCACTTAGGTGGTGCTATCAAAGATATTGTAGCATAGCTTTAGCACATTCTATAATTCAACTACAGGTAAGATCTTACTGTTCCTTTACTGAGGCAACTGGCTGTACATTTTCTGGCCTAAACTGATTCTCTAAGTATTGTAGGTCACTTATATATTTTTTTCTTTTCCCATCTTTTTTCAGAATCACTGTTTGAGGGGTCAAACCTTCCAGAGTTTGACCCCTCAAAGTAGGGGCAACTATTATTTTTGCAGCACTGTCTTTGTGTTGAATAGTTTTACTCATGTGATTAGTCATGACTCCCTCAAGTTTACTCAATATGTTATTCAAAACAATCAATCAATCAAATTTTATTTGTACAGCACATTTCAGCAGCAAGGCATTTCAAAGTGCTTTAAAGCATGTGACATTGAATAAACAGTAAGAAAGAGAAAGAGATTTTGAAAAAAAAAAAATCCAGATTTTTAATCAAAACGCCATTTGCCAGTTTACAACATGTATTGTGTTCAAACCATTAAGATAATGGTTTGAACACAACAATTATCAAAAAAAATCTGGAGGTTTTTTTACTAAAAACCTCCAGATTTTTAGTCAAAATGCCATTTGACAAGGACTCTAAACCTCCAGATTTACAATCAACCTGCATGAGAGTAGAAAGCATTACATTCTGGCTTCTGTACTTGTCAACTATTCCTGTCTGAGCCTCCAAATTAGCATTTAGTTATGTAATTATATTTAAAAATGTTTCTTAAAAGAAAGACTGGCACGCTGTACAGGATATCTTGGCATGAAGATCTGTTAGTTTTGTTACATAAATCTCTGCTTGCTGAACTGGAAGCTCAAAAAGAGAAAAACTGAGTTAAGATTCCAATCACTGCTGTTTTTATTGAAGAAATGTTTATTGGTTTTCATTCACTTAATTTTCAACATTCAGTTTTTTTACAGTCCTCTGATATTATTTTTGTTATCCTCATATATACCCCACACTGTAAATGTGGAGTTTAATTTAGTTTTTGAGCTTCCCAATGAAATTTAATCAAATTAGATTCTTTAAGTTCCAGTTCATGCTTCCTAATATTTTTTCCATGTGGATTTCCAGACATTTCGTTTTTATCCTTTTAATTTTTAGTTTACTTTTAAACCAGACAGTTTCAGTCTAAAATACATATATGAATCTAAATCAGGATTGCATAAGTTTAACTTCAACTGATGTCTAAATGAAATCTATATTTGGCCTCAGGGCTATTGCTTAGTGGGTAGTTAGTGAAAAGTCATTTCAAGGTAAAGGCAGACATGTGGCAGATGCGTAATTTAAATAACTCATATGAAGAGGAAATAGAGCAGAGCAGAGCAAATGTTGTTCGTTTGTCAGACACTGAGAAAAAAGTGCTCCTGTGGAAAACTTTAAAGAAAAGTTATTGATTTATTTAGTGACATAATATGAGGGCATAAAAACGACATGCCAAATACATTTCCTAACCCAGTCAACCTCATGCATTCAAATAACTGATGACTATCGTTTTGATGATGTGACTTCTGATTCTGCTAAAGTTAAATGTTGCAGAGATTAAAACTCATGTTTTATGATAAATCCATAGCAAATTTATCATAAAAAAAGAGTGACAATTGGAGTTTAATTCATGTGTATCCCTGGTTGAAGCAAAAATGATAATATCATCCTCCAGGAAAGGCCATGTACATTCCACCATAATATCCTATCTGTGTTTGTTCACTTGACTCAGATGAGCGGGCGGAGTCTAGCACACCTAAGCCAGCGGGATGCTTTGAGGATTATTGCTGCGAGTCAGCGCCCCATCACCTTGCAAATCAAGGGCCAGAGGAGGCGGGGCAATGAGGGAGACAGGGGATCCTGGGAACCCCTGCCGCTCAACCTGCAGCACCTCAACCTACCTCTTCCAATGAGGGGGGCAGGAATTAACACATCTAGCCCCTCCTACCCAGACAGGTAGGCCTGTGATAAATTGCTCCAGAAATTATCGTGATAAACGATAATATTGCTGTTTTGAAACTATTTTTAAGTAATATAATGGTAATGGCAAAAAATAATAATGCCAGATCACATTCTAAAAGGTCAGTGAACTTTAAATTCTAATGAACATTTAACACTGGAACTGGAAGACTAAATAAATAAAACAACAAATACAATTAATTTTGAAGTCTTTGTAAATAAAATTGTCCTTCAAAGTAAAGGTTTGTTGACACCAAAGCACCAAACTGAAAACTTTTATCATCCAGTTTTTGGTAGAAATAGAGGAAAAAAAGAGATAATTTATACCAATGGAAGTTATTGAGCTTATTTTAATTTATCATGCAATCAATTGATTTATGAATTATTGTGTATTATTGTGACAGGCCTACACAACATATGTAATGAATTAATGGCCTGCATGTTAGTAAAACATTTCTATAAAGAGCTGTTAAATTATGACTTATTTATTATGCTTTAAATGACTTTATTTCACTGAATGACAACCACCAATCACTTTGATTAAGATATCCAATAAGATATTTGAAGTTTTTGCAAAATATTTGGGTACTAGTTATGTAAATCACACGTAAACACTCAGAGCAGATTAGTCTCTATTATCCTGTGATTGCAGAAGCTCTGGCATTTAAATTTATTTAGGACTGTTTGATTGTTTTGGGTTTCATTTTATAGGCTTTAACCACAGCTTTCATAAAACATACATAATTGTCTCAAAAGCTGCTAAAATGTTCATCTTGTTTTTTCTCAGACATTATTATGGCCATCTGTCTCTGCCACAAGATCACTGTGATGGAGGACGGTACAGCTATATGTCTAGCTCACCACGGGACACTGTGGAAATCAACCATCAGGTGAGGTGAACAATAAAAAAAAAAGCTCCAAGAAATAAACATTGATGTGAATATATGCTGCATTTTATCAGCTTGGATAAAATAAAAAGAAATCAAAGCAATGTTGGAAATCTTCTACAGCACCTTGCAAAAGTATCACAAATGTTGGTGTGTATAACTGGGATTTTATTTATTAGACCAAAACACAGTAACACATGACTGGTGAGTGGAGGAAAGACGTGGTCTTAAAACCTATTCACACACAAAAAAAAACAAAGCGTGGTACGCATATGTACAGGTCATTTGAATCAATACCTTATACCACCACGGTTTGCTGGACTTCAAGCTACAATTTTATATTGGCTATTAGCTTTTTTACTCAATGTTTTCATAGAAAAAGAGAATTCTGATTAAATATTTCTTGAAGAGGTTTTTAGAAATAATGTATGAAAGTGTTACGTAGTCAAATAAGCCTAGAAAAGTACTTGTTATGTTTATTCCATTAATTATTTCCAATTTTCCACTGCATAAATTCTTTAGGATCTCGAACTCGCCAGACGTCGACAAAAAAGGAAGAATTGCCTGATGGGATGTTGCAATCCTGACTTAGATGAACCAACAACCTGCCACAGCCAGGTATCTGCAATCTTACCTTTTTTAGTGACATTTTCTACTCACAGTCTCCATTCTATTCCAAAACCAATATCGCAGCATGTCATAAAGTTCTCCAGAATCCTGCTGTTGAACTACCATTTGATTCAGGTGTGTTGAATTAGGGGAAGAATTAAAACATGGCCCCTGAGAACTGATTCCACTGCTTTGGAGTGTGAGATGCAATTAAAACCTTCAGCAACTGCCCTGTTCATTTTTAACTGTGTGACAACAATGAACTGGTACTTTAAGAAATTTTAAATATAATTACTTTAAAACAAGAACAAAGAAATTTGCAAGAATTTATAGGCTGGAGATTAGACAACACAAGGAGTCTAAACATGTCTAAACATGTTGATTGTTGGAGTAATTCTTAGATTTTGGAGACCTTTTTGCTTTACTAAAACAACAAAACAATCTTTCTGAGTTTTTGGCATCCTATTGTTCCACAAACTCATCCAGTTTGTATTGAGGAACTACACATGCAACATGCAGTTATTTTTAGCTTCTGATTTGCCTGTTTGTGAACTGTCCTTTAGAATGAGCATCTCTTGTCTTGTAGACTGACGATGAGGACTTCATCCTGGAGAAGCCATTGGGTTACATGCCCCTTCACCATGAGTTGGACAGTGGTCTGGGCTGGACAGATGGCTCCCTCCATCAGGGTGATCTCTCAGGGCTGGAGACAGAGGAGGGAGGTCTGGAAGACTGTCATCCTCATGGGAACTTTGCCACTGCTGGGTGTGGGGGGTTCGGAGGTGGGGGCTCTCCGTCCTCAGAGTCTTTCATCTCCTCGGAGCTCAGCGATTCAGGCTTCTACAGTGTTAGCACCGGTGAGTTCAGGCACTTCCAAAGGCTCTTAGAGAAGAGGATGCGTCTGTACAATGCCAGGATGCAACATCAGGGTGAACCATGCGAGAGACGCGAGAGGCGTGACAGCTGCCCCAAGAGCCACAGAGAGCTGCTCGAGTCGATACCAGAGGCCCTGACGATGCAGCCCCCATGTCAGCACCTGCAAAATGGGATGGAGGATGGAGCTGGGCCAGTCATGGATGTCCAGCCTCGTGGACTTTTCAGGTAATTTGGGAAAAATATTTCATTGATTAGTAACATTGATCTTAATTACAGTCTTATCCACTATGATTTTTTTTTTAAATTGTGAATCACATTGAAATCATTTGAAACCCCACACCTAAGACAGGCTGGTAACAGTGCTCATGTGCTACAAAAAGGACAGTTCTGTCAAACTTGCTTTCTAATTTGGTTCAACAAAGCACAGAAGAGTAGAAAGTGTTGCGTCCATTTTTCAAACCATAAAATGACACTTCACAATAGAAATTTGCCTTAGAGTGAGAATGGCTTCAGGAATGAGTCTTGTGTTTTTAGTATTGTATTTGCCTTCATCTGAAGCATTACTTAGTGGTAAATAATTACAATTACCAATTACTCATACTTTTTACCCCAAAATATATCAATAGTCAGGTTCTGTCAATGTTTCCATCAGTTGTTTTGTTTCTTTTTCTGCTGACCAATTCAAAAGTTTTCATATATGAGTCATCACACTTTTCATAAATTACTATCACAATCACCTCTTTTAGCATTTATAATCGTGACTTTTCAGTAGTCCTATGCTAGATTTATGCATTTATTTGCTCTGTGTATTCTGTCATATCAAATCTGTGCTCATACATCCATGTAGTTATTTTTTGGACAACCTGCCTTGCAGCGGTTTGGTGTTTGTTTTAAAAATAGAACTTTCCTTCAGTTACCTGTGTTCAAAACCATGACTTCATTTTGTCCACCACCAAAACATTCCTTTACTATTCATTAGTTAATTGGCTGCCTTGTTTAAAAGTAACATAGTATTTAAATAAGTGTTAGGGAGCCTACCGGAAAGACTTGTGCACATTTTAAATGTAATGTTTCATGAGTCCCTCTATTTACACTGGCATTGCTTTCCAAATGAATAGATCAGAATATATTTTATTAATCAAAAATGTGTGCCCTGTCAATTGAGAATTATTCTGCTCATTCAAATTTATTTCCATTTGCCAAACACCAGAATTACATGAAAGACAGTTTTTTGTATTACTTTAGTCAAAGTCTGACGTTTACCTGTATTTCTTTAGTATTTGGTAGCATTACTTTTGAACTGTATGACTGGAGTCAAATGTTTTGACTATCCATTCCTAAGCTTCTAACAACAGTACGTTAGAATTTTGGCCCATTCCTCCTGACAGAACTGTTTATAGGTCCCCTTGTTTGCACACACCATTTGAGTTCTGTCCACATATTTTCTATGAGTTTTTAAGAGATCAACATGATGGCTTTGTGGGTTAAGGTTAAGCCAAAACAGTAACTTTCTTGTTTTAAAGTCACTTTGTAACTAATTTAGAGGCATGCTTGTAGGGTCTTTGTGAAGTCAGAAGGCATGTTTGTACCCAATATTTAATGTCTTAGCTCATGTCTTGAAATGTTGCTTGCATATTTGCATATAAAGCTCTTTCTTCAAGATGCAATATAATTTGTAATTTGCCTCCCATCAACATAACAGTGCCACCCAATGGGATGGTGCCTTCAGGCTTTTTTCTCCAAATGTAACAGTGAAACTTTTATCAATTTTCAAGTGTCATCAGAGCACAGGTTATGGTTGGCAATATTAAGATCTTTGCTCCCTCGGTGCAACAGTAAGCCTATCTTTTTTAATGTTGCTTTTGGAGTAATTGCTTCTTCCTTGCTGACCAGCCTTTCAGCCTATGTCAGCACAACACAAAGTATCTGAATCCTTCCTGAATAGTATTATGACTGCACATTTCCATGGGGTTTATTCTTGATAATTATTTTATGAGTAGGTGAATAGTGCAGATTCAGGCATCTGAAAATTCAAAGGAGGATGCAGATTTTTGGAAGTCCACAGATATCTTGTTTTTAACTTAATGTCAGGCAACAAGCTTTCCCAAGTTGTTTAAAGTTGCAGTATGAAATTTTTTAAAGAATATATATATATGTGTGTGTATGATAAAACTGTCACTGTGTTGTGACAGTATAAGACAGTTAGTCGGTCATACTGTCATACAAATGGTCATACTCCTCCTTGAACTACTATTGTCTGAAAAAATGCATCACGCCAGACAAAAAATAACCAATCAAAGCCAGAAGGAGGTCTGATTGACAGCACCAAGACTCGCCTCCTGGCTCTGATTGGTTGTTTCTAGTTAGCACTGGGAGAACTGGGAGAAAGCATAGGAGCTCAGTTTCTTTCACTGATTATTTGTACTGTCACTACATAGTAATAGTTTCATCAAAAAGTTACATACTGCAGCTTTAAAGCCATAGACCTTAGTGCATACCATACCAACTTTATTTGTAAAGCACTTTAAAACAACCACAGCTGATACAAAGTGCTGTACATCAAAACACAACATAACAATAAAAAAAATAAAAACTTACAGTTTCAAAACAAAAACATACAATTTAAAACTAGATCCCGCTGGAGTTGAAAGCCAGCGGGATCTAGTTTCAAATTGTATGTAAACTTCAGCTGTAAACTTCAGATTTTAAAGAAAATAAATTCATTTCTAAAGAGAAATTCCTTTTATTAATTTTAATTTCACAAATACAAATGTCAGTAATTTCAACTGATATATATTTTTTTCTTTCTGATCCAGTGCTGATGGTGATAGTTAAAGAAATGGCTATGTCTTTTTACGATGTGTATGGAAACATGATTTCAGCTGCACATGTTGTCGCATCAGTTAACTAGAACAATTTCATTTCCAGGGTTTCATCGGTCCAGTTCCATAAAGCTGACCGACCCTGTCTGAACCGCCACAGCTCTAGCAGCGGCGCTCTCTTCAACCCCTCTCACGCCGCAGTCCCACGTATAAATGCCCCAGTCCTCTCCACCTGCAGCACACCCTCCAGCCATCGAAGACCACAAATACCCATGCAGCAGCAGTACAACCACCAGGGTTCAAGCTCAGTAGGCATGCTGAGGAGGAGCAGAACCCTACACCACCGACCGCCTCCGCAGGAATACCGCCGCCGGGCCAGCCACCCAGCATCACCTTCCTACTGTGCTGCAACTCTGCACTACTGTGGAGGTGTCACTCCACACAACGTCCTTCCACCAGGCCTGCCAGAGGAAGGTGAGCTAGATGCTGGTGTGATGGCTTCCCACCCAACAGGCATGGCCCTATCACCCCAACAACACCCGGCTGCTTTGGGACACGTCAGGGGCACCAACACCAGTGAGCGATGCTATGACAACTCGGGTGGTCAGATCACACAAAATGACTGGTGGCACACTCAAGATAGAAGCTTAATGCCTGAGCCAGCGATGGCAGAAAGAGAGAGGGAGATGGAGAGGGAACTGGAACAAAAGAGACAACTACAAAAGGAAAAGGAGATTGAAAGGGAAAGAGAAATTGAAAGAGAGATGGAGAGGGAAAGAGAGACAAAGCTCCAGGAGGAGAAGGAAAGAGAGAGGCAACTGGAGCTGGAAAGGAGCAGAGCTAGAGAACAGCAGCACCTCCAGAGTCATGTCCTCCCACTGCAGGCTGGAGACGTCAACGACACCTGGCCAAAGCCGGCCAGTCGTCAGTCCTATGGAGGTGGAGGAGGTAGAGGTCTCTACAGCACTTTGGAGGGCCACACAGGAGTTGGAACTTCTGCTGAATGTGAGGCAAAGAATGGACAAATAAATGCAAACTCAAGTCACAATGCCGGTTCCGGTCTGCAGGCAAAACCTAACCCAAGCTCTAGACCTAACACAACCTCACGAGTCACAAGGAGCCAGTTGCTCAGAGATCGAGCTCATCAGCTGGCAGATGAACGGAGTGGAATGAGTACTGATGAAGAGAACAACACTGACATGCTGCTGGGTCGCTACTGGAGTCGAACAGAGAGGAGAGAACACTTCCTGTTGGCTCGGGAGCAAAAGCAGCAACAGCTGCTGGCCAGAGGCGGACCTTTACGAGAAGCTGTTAGCCGGGGAGCAGCGTCTATAGGAGACGGAGGCTTAATAGAAAGCAGGGGAGTTGGACCGTTTGCTGAGGGGCGATGCAAAACTGTCCTGGAGCTGAGTCAACGGAAGCTGAGTCGTCTGAGGAACAGAAAGCTGTTGGATGACTGGACAACCGTAGAGGAGCTGCTGACTCATGGGACCAGGTTGGACAACCAGGAGGACATGTTGTGTCCAAGCTCCTTGTTGACAGTCACCACTGTCTAACTGCACAGACACAATGTTTAGTTTAACCTCTGAGTGTGTGTGATGTTAAACTAATGATATAATATTATGTGAATCTGCTTGTTCCGTCTTTCTCAGAGTTAGACAAGAACATGGATGTCAGCTGAAGTAGG